AAAGAAATTGCAAATTATCCTGCTGATATATTTATTTTATTTAATATTTCGTTAACTATTAACTTTATTCAAGGCATTTGATACCAAAATTCACAAGTATTGATGTTTTTGTCTAATTTTCTTTCGTTGCCTGGAGTAATTGCGTTAAATCAGAATTATTTAGTTGATTTGTAAAATGCGATTATCTCGTAAACTGTTGAGTATGAAAGTTATTAACAAGAATTGTTACCATTATACCATTAAGAGCAAAAAATTGCAAATGTATGCCACATATTTGGCGTACGTAGCGCCCTTTATCGGCTATATAAAAGTAAGCATCAAAAAAATAATTTCTGATGTTCAATAGTACCCAGTTATCAATTTTGATACATAAATGTTTACAAAGATAAAAGTTATAGCGAAAATTATAATTTTAAATTTCCACTTTAACACCCTGTATCTTTCTTAAGATCAAGATTTTATTAAAGCAATTTGGCTTAAATCATAAAATTTGAACGTGCAGGATCTACGGTTTCTTTTAATACAATTCAAAAAAAATTGAAAAAATTCAAAATTTCAATGTCACGGTCTTCTCTGTTTTAAACAAATTTAATGAAATATTGAGTTTTTTTTAGTATACTTTCAAAACGAAGCCTCAAAGCATCGATTGCGATTTACAAAATACCTCTAGAGTGGCGGTTTGAGCAAATACACATGTTTAAATAATCGCTCTCCAGGATAAACAAATTGAATATCTTATAATCTATTTGGTCGATTCGTTTAAAATGTAGCACACTTTAATAAATCATTAAATGCCAGAATTTTCATTAGTTGTGAGTTATAATACATGTGATAGTGCGATCGGTACTCACCGGAGGGACCGCAGACGTTCGGATACAATTAGCGTCTCTTAGCAAAGACAATGACGTCGATTTGCTAAGTATCAAGACAATTACTCTACACACACACACACTACACTAGGTACCTGACTGTACCATGAGAATAATCTTAGTTGTCGAGGCATTAACTCAATAATAAAAAAAAATACATGTGAATATGCAAAAAAATATTAATATTTATAAATTGCTTCAAAAGCAAGCGTTTTTTAAAATTATCTTGGTCAAGTATTTATGTATTTTAATTTTGAATTATTAAAATTAAAACTATCAATATTAAAGAGCTATTTATGATTTATGACTTTTATTTAAATCACTTTTCTCTAAGCTTCATAAGAAACGTTTTATAGTCAAAAAACAGACTTACTTTTTAAGTTTTTTTTTTAACAAAAACAAAGCAAAATCACCTGTACATCTTCACGCATTTTTTTATTAGCTACACCTGTGTCGCCCAGTTCCATAATCAGTTAAATCCAAAATTTAAAAAAATGGACGTTATGATTTCAATGAATTCTTTGTTAGTCGCCTTACATGTGTGTATCTTCAAACTGTTCCAAACTCAGTTACATTGCGTTGAAAATACCGGCTGAAAAGTTCGGACTGTTCCAAAAGCAGTTAAATGTATTCGGTGGTCGGTTTCAAAACCAGTTAAATCTGTCACGGTGTCAAAACAAGTTAAAAGAAATACTAAACCCACATGACCATGAGTTCGGTGCCACAGCTACTGTTAGTTACAAATCGACCACCGAAGTAGGTAGTTAAACATTTTTTGTGAGAAATAGAAGCGCTTGTATTGTAGTATTGAGACAAACCTAAAAGCATAACACTATTTTTTTTAAACATTAAAATAAACCATAACAGGTGCTTTTACTGGACGATACAGTTCTTAATATCATGGAGGGGCCAGCGGAAAATCCTGAAATCGTTGATAATGTTGAAGTAATAGCAGAGGCAACTGGTTCTTTGGCTAAAAAACGAAAAAGCAATCCTTCCACTTGGAAAAAAAACCATTGCAAAAGTATCTAGGTAAGTTAATTGTAATTATTATAATAAAAATTTATACAGTGTTTCGTCAATATGCCAACAACCTTCATTATTTTACAGTGACGTAGAAGTTATTGGGATAAAAACCCAAAATTTACTCTGTATCTGCGCCTTTGGAAATGATCAATTTAGAAAAAAATGCTTGTTTTATCAAGTAGTACTAGTATACAAACTTTCATCATATCTACAGTAGGTATTAAAATTTTAAGAGATATCGGTAAACAATACAAAAAAAGTATCTCAACAACGACACATTTTGAATGGTATGTTAACATAACCATTTTAAATGTTTTTAAGTGGTATACTTTTATCCCCTGAAATTTATTGGCACATTTACGAGACACCTTTTATAATCCGTTATTATTCGTCTTTACTTATACCTTCAGATTCAGGCTAATCTTTCCTAACCTTTCATAACGTCAACTACAGCGAAAGCGATTAGGTAACTGAAAGTGTAACAAATTTGTTTTTTTAGGCACCGTCCAAAGGGATTTCCTCAAATGCCAAACTGCAAACATCCAAGCAAAAGCAAGTATCGATGCTCAGAGCTTTCCTTGCAAGACGTAACAAAAATCCATCGCAGATATTACAAAGATGCGGATCTACAATCGAAGACACAATTTATTCTGCAACATGTTATGGTTTTTTCTGCAAAAAGAACCCGGATTCCAGAACGTACCTCAAAAAGAATGGTAAGCACTAGTTTCTACTTACCTAAGCAAAGATACAATAAAACAGAAAATATTAAAGTGTGTCGAGCGACATTACTTGCAATACTCTAAGAAAGTCGAAAACGGGGGCAGTTACTTTGCCAAAAATTTCTTCAGACAGGTGTACTCCCATCTGAAACTCGTGGAGGGGCCCGCCACGTTGAAAAGTTGAACACAAAGAAAGAAAGCATCAAAACTTTTATTAAATCTTTTGTGCCAGTGCAGAAACACTACTGTAGAGCAAAGAACAAACACAGACAATATCTTCCGAGTGAACTGAGCATTAAAAAAATTTGGTATATGTACAGTGAGCAACATCCAACTCCCAAATTAACATGCAAGTATGATTTCTTCAGAAACGTGTTTGCCACCAATTTTAATATCGGGTTTGATGCCCCATACACTGATAAGTGTTCTACATGTATACGACTTGAATGCGAGACAGCAACCGAAAAGGGTGGTGACAAACGAGCAGCTTTAAAATTGGAGTTGAAAGTCCATAAAGTTCGTGCTGAGAAATTTTATATGTTCTTACGAGAGAACAATGATAACGAGCTTGTGTTCAGCTATGACTGCCAAAATAACTTGGTGTTGCCTAAAATACCTGATCAGGCTGCGTACTATAAGCGTCCGTTGTATCTTTATAACTTTGTTATATGTGAGGGGCACTCCAAAGCCACACAAAATTGCCACAACACATTCTCCTATCTTTGGACAGAAAACCAGTATCAAAAGGGATCCAATCAAATAGCATCTGCTTTGTACCATAGATTACAGAACTCGAACTTTGAAAATGTCACCACAGTCAAACTCTTTTCTGATGGTTGTGGGGGACAAAATAAAAACACCATTGTTGTTGGTATGCTTATCAGTTGGCTTATTAAGGATGCTCCTCGTAACGTGAATAAGGTGGTACTATACTTTCCTGTAGTCGGACATTCGTTCATCCCGCCAGACCGAGTCTTTGGAATTTTAGAACGACAGTTTCAAAATTTCAGTGTTATCAACAATCCAGACGAATACACTGATATCATTAAAAATACCTGTACCGTGATAAAGCTGGGAGCAGACTGCTCTGTCAGTAACTGGAAAAGTGTCACAGAAGCTGTGGTAAAACCTCCAGGACAGTGGCATTTCCAATTTCAAAAAGCTAAAAAATTCATTTTCACACGATCTACAAGAAATCCAAACACAGCTTTGATCCAAGGAGAGGCCAACTACAACTTTGAAACGGGTGAGCCCAAGTCAGTTTTAAAAAGAGGAAAAGTTTTCGGAAATCAAGCTGTTCCGGAAATACCAGAAGGTGTGGCAGTTAAAGACGCGAAAATTAAAGATATAAAGTGTTTATTGGATCTCCATTATGGAACAGACTGGAAAAACAACCAGAAGTTAAAGTTTTTTGAGGAAATGTTGCAACAACCAATCGATCCTGTAGATGACGAAGAAGATGATTTTGAACTGAATGCTGAGGACGAATCTATTGATTAAAAAAATAGACACCAAATACTATTAAAAAAATGTACGAATAAAACTTTTCAGTAAAAATTGCTTCATTATTTTAACAATCTAACTAAAGCAAAAATTTTGCCCTCACAACAATATAATACTATGACATAATAGTTTCAAAAGTAGTTAAATCCTATTACTGTTCCAAAATCAGCTATAATAAATTTTTAATATTTTACAGTGCCTACATTTTTTCTTTAATTTTATACAATTTTTATTAGGAAAAAGCTTTATTTGTTAATTTTTTTTTGATAACAACTTTATCACGTTCCCTATGACGGTAGGTACGCAACTAGTTATTGGCCTATTCCCACAAATTTTTTCAAGTGGATTTAACTGATTTTGGAAATGGGTGACTCCACCTCATATATTTTTTAAACTTTTAAATATCTGTATACGATTTTTACATGAAATCAATGATTTTTCTCCGATAGTCTTGTGTTAACCGGTCTGTTTTTTAGGTTACTAAATTCCTTATTGTTGTCTCCGTCTTTAATGATCATAGTGTTAGGTATAAGACTTACACAATTATTATTATATTGTTCGTCATTGTTGATTGTAATGATACACATATTTCAACTGATTAGATTAGTTTTAATGTTGCTATGGTGTGTGTGGTATTTAATCAAAAATATACAGAAAATATTATATACTCTTACACAAATTTTAAAGGAAGACTAAAAAAATCCTTAACTATGAACATAAGAAAACATAAACTTTCCTCAGTTAGCGATAACAAGAAGGCAAAAAAAACTTTTGTGTGTTTATAACATACCAACAATACATTTAAATTACCTTTTGTTTTGTTAATAAAACCAAAAACTCAATTTTAAGCAAAAACTTATCAATTAAAATGAATATTTACCTTGGTTTTTGCTCGTTAGATTTATCACGTGCAGTTATTTACTTGACCTTTATATTTTTAGACGCACATTAATAACTATTATGTCTATATAAAATATCCACGTATCGCTATGCACCAGAGCATTTACATACACCGAACTGTGCAAATTTAGAAACTGAAATTTGTTTTACTTTCTCTTTACTCTCGACTTTGTATATATTATAGTCCAGTCTCAGATGATCTTAATGACAGCAAAATGCTGGTACACTATAAATAAAATATAGAGATTAAACGTATATATGAAATTAACAAAACATTAAAGGTGAGGTATTATAATTGCTAAGAATACCGTAAAATACTAGCAAAAACAAAATTTGACACTGACTAATTATGTAATAGATCAGATTATTATCCTAAATTAATTGACAAAATATAATATTTTTCTAACTGAACAACAAAAGCTTCAAAAGATCAATTCCAATCCATCTTATCATAAATTAATAATACAAAAATGCTAATAATCCAGTACGGATAGCATTTGCCTTGCATGTCAAGCTGCCCCAAATATTATTATTTTGATTTTAACTTTTACTGATACTTGATTTTAAAGCAGAAGCGTTTTTGCTCAATATCTCTTACATCTTAAACTTTTCGACAAAAATGGTAATCTCGTTTATTATTAAGTTTACGACATAATTGTACAAAGGTAGAAATGAATTATAATTTGTACAGTTCTTTTGCTAAAAACTATCTTTAAGTTTGTAGGTTCGTTCTTGTTTATGGCTTGCTGCTGATGACGTCTCCTTCTAGGGTTCGATAAGGTTAGGATCTTAAATATTGATCGAAACACAAAAATTCAAAGAAATCAAAATTGTATAAAATATAATTCTCTTCAGTTTTGTTAATGTACATTTGTTGTTAAGTTAATAAGAAACGAGATAATTCGATAATTATACTTACCCACTATTTTTCCCTTAACTCGGATAAAAAAAATGCAAAAAAATTGTAGGAAACCGTAATTGTAACAATTTTACTTGCTTTTGACGAAAAGTTTAAAATGGCGGAGATACTAAATCAAACAATTCCCATAAAACCAATCCCTGTAAACCCTTGGGTTCGCCTCTTTATCGCATACCTACAACATCAACTATTAAATTCAGCAAAATGGTATAAAATATAATTCTGTCCATTTTGTTTATTAACATTTATGTCGTAAAGTTAATAATAAAAGAGATAATTCCATAAATATGCTTTCCTCTCCCATCCACTATTTTCCACTATATTTACTATTTTTCCTACTATTCACTATATTTATATCTCGGAAAATATCGACCGCACTAAAAAAAATGCAAGGAAGAAATTGTAGGAAATTGTAATTACAACAATTTAAGTCCTTACCATGTAAGAAATTTGGCAGCACTCCCCTATGCATCAACTCTCCCTCTCTCTCACTCACCACTAACGCCTAGCTGCATTGCTTGGTGCCAGCCTATCAGTCTTCTGATATGGATCTTTCGATCGCTGTTACCGCCAGTTGTAAAATTCGTGCTGTGATAGGTTTCCTAAATGCAATAGATTTCACCTATTTACATTCATCGTTAGTTATTCGAAGTTTATGGGGAAAAGTGAATATTTGTTCAATATGTTCGCAAATGGTTTGGAAAATTCAGTGAAGGCAGAACAGAAATTCACGATAAAGATCGGACCGGTAAAGGCTTTTAGTTTCAGATGATATTGTCAAAAAAGTTAAAGGAATATTGCTTGAAGATCAGAAGTTAACTAATATAAAAATTGGAGCTAGAGGATCAGATAATAGGACAAGTGAGATAGAGTTTAATGAAACAATATGGAGAAATAAAAATATCGGGAAAAAATAACAGGCAGAATTTACAACACAGTCATCAGATCAATAATGACATATGCGACAGAAACACGATCTGGCACAGAGAGAACAAAAATGATGTTAGAAATAGCAGATATAGAAGCAGTTACAAAAATTGATAGGAAAATATTATGAGACAGAGCTATAAGTACAGAAATACGACATAGATGCAAGGTGGGGAAAATTAAGGACTGGGTAAGAAATTCTTCTTAGAGTGCCGTCTCCCTACGGAGGTTGGCAATCATAATGGCTATTTTTATTTTAGAACTTGCTGCTCTAAACAAATCAATCGATCTGCATTGGTACCAATCACGTAGATTCTTTAAATATGAGTTCTGCCTTCGGCCAACAGATCTTCTTCCTTGAATCTTTTCCTGTATTATCAGTCTCAAAATTTCATATTTTGGTCCCCTCATCACGTGGCCTAGGTATTCCAGTTTTCTGGTTTGTATAGTGGTGATTAGTTCTGTTTCTTTACCAACCCTCTCCAGTACTTCTTTATTTGTAATTCTATCAGTCCATGATATTTTCAATACTCTGCGGTATAACCAGAGTTCGAAGGCCTCGATTCTTTTTAAATTACATTTTTTTAATGTCCAAGTCTCAGCTCCATATAATAATATTGAAAATATATAACAGCGAATGGTACGTAGTCTGATCTCCAAATTTAGATTTTTGCACGTTAGGAGTGGCTTCATTCGTATAAATGCTGATCTGGCAATCTCTATTCGTCTGTTTATTTCTACAGTATGATCATTGGTTTTATTGATCAAAGTTCCCAAATACTGATATTTTTCTACTTGTTCTATCACGTTACCATTTATTGTCAATAGGTGATGTATATTTTGTGGCCTTTTTGTAATCAGCATGTACTTCGTTTTTTTGGCGTTTATAGTAATTCCCATCTCAGCAATATTTATACTCAAGCTTTCGATAAGATGTTGTAGATCCTCTATACTCGTTGCTATGATCACAGAGTCGTCTGCATATCTTAAATTATTAATTAATTTTCTGTTAACGGTGACTCCCGCTTCGATATTATTGAGCGTGTTTTGGAAAATTTCTTCAGAATATAAGTTAAACAAAAGTGGTGATAACACACATCCCTGTCTAACTCCTCTACAGATCCTCATTTCTTCTGAGTGTTGCCCATCAATTTGAACTATGGCACTTTGGTTCCAATATAATGTTTGTACTATATTTATGATTTTACTGTCAATGCGCTTGTTCATAAGTATTGATATTAGTTTTTCATGTCTTACTTTATCGAAAGCTTTTTCGTAGTCAACGAAGCACAAGTGTAGATCAACAAAAATTGAATAGTAAAGACGGCAAGAGACGGTTCTCCAATAGGAAGACGATCAGTAGGAAGACTAGGTAAACTATGGAAAGACAATTTACTGGAGGCACGTTAAAAAAAATAGTCATGTCTAGGTATATAAAAAGGTGATAAAAAAATCAGATGGTTACCACTAACCTTGCTTTGCGTAGTTCTGATACTTCTCAGACCACATTTCATTCCAGTGATGTGAGGCATCACCATGACAACTAAATCACCGAACAACCCGAAGGTGCACTTCGATAAATTTACATCTGACAGGTAGCTGTCAGACAAATTCGGTGACCTTGCGCCATTTTTTTAATATAGAATGTCAGTGTTTACGATTGCACAAAATCAAATTATTAGCGAAACAAATAATGTGTTCTGACTAGGGATGGTGACCTGATCCCGTACCAGTTACTTTGGAACAGGTATTTTATTTATACTTGTGGAACTGATTCCTAACACCAGTATAAACGAATACGGGTATATTCGATATCTATTTAAACCGACTCAGCTGTACGGGTGGATGATAAAACAGAACGCGGACGTGTATTACACCTACATTTACGAATACGTAGTACTCGGTACCTCGGTAGATATTTCTAAGAGAACTCGCGGTAGGTAAAATTTGTACTAGGTTTGTAATTTTCTAGTTATTCCAACAAAATCATGGGCTTTCCACAAACAAGTTGACATTGCCAAATTGATTCATCCATATCTATAAAACCACCATTGTCAAAAATAAATATATTATTAAATATATAAAATGTTATTTGCAAATATTTATTTTTTACTTGTTCATGTACTACTCCTAAAATTTATTATAATCATGTTATGCGTATTCATTTGTTGTTATTCATATTCGTCAGGAAATTGTATAAGCTTGTCGATCAGTGGACTATTCAAAAAATATACATGAAATAACAATTGAATTGTTTCATTGCATTTGTCCTTAATTTTTCTTGTGCATTTCTTAACGTTTACAAAGCTTTAGATAAATATCAACAGATGTCAATTGGCGTTAAGTAGGCAATCGCCATTTTTTATGAACTTTGTATGCAATCTCTGAATAACAGTAATTTAAGTATTAGAAGTTAAACTGTCATTTTAATAACTATAAAGAAATCTAACAAAATACAAATAATGTTATCGTTATGCTTAGATATCTATTAAACGAATGACAACAAACTGATTTCCAAACCAGTATTTTTTAACAGGAATTTTTGTTTAATAGTATCAGTTTGACCTAATCCACAAAAATACTTGGATAAACCAACTCTAGATCTGACAACAACAAACACAAAATGATCGTCCAACGACGTGACTGTGAACTTAAAATATGTCCGCTGACAATACGCAAACCAGATGCGCGAACAATTACCGCCGAGTCGAGTGCACCTTTGGGTTATTCGGTGACTATATGCTCTTCTGCAAACCTCAAACTGCCCCTCCAATAGTTCTTTGCTTTCCTCTACTAATAAGATATCATCAGCAAAGAGCATTGACAAAGAAGCCCGCTCCTCTACTTTCTCTGTCAAATTACAAGAGATTAAATTACAAGATTGACCTTCGCTTTACAGTTGTCACCCATATTTTCGTTGTGTTTCTTTGTCTCTAGGAGGTCTTTAACCAGATATTTCTTGTAGCATTTCCTCTAGCACTCGCATTATAATTTTACTGTTGGTTTTCCACCGGCCATTCTCCGTATCTTTTTCCTCCAGCTCTTCCAGCACTCTCCTTTTAAAGATTCTTACGAAATCGTTATCATTATCTTCCACCCCTTTACTTTCGAGTGTCCTACTTGCTTTCCTTTCCGCCTCACCTTTATCTCCATATCCACTATCACCGGTCTGTGTTGACTAGCTACACACTTACCCTTTATCCCTTTAAAGTTGATAACCTCTTTTAGCTTATTTCTTTTACAAACACAAAATCGATCAGACTTTCCC